TAATACTTGCAGCACACACAGCATCTCCACTCCACCTCCACCTCATCACTACCAATAAGAACTATTCATGTTGACTAGTTTCTGGAATGTACACGGTCTCGGTTGCCTTGGGGCATTGGCACATGCTATTCCCTCTGCCTGAACTCTTCTCTTTCAGCTCTCTTTGTCTGGCTCTAGGTATAACTACTTAACTTCAGAACTTATATATTCCTTATTCCACAAGCTTTTCTTGATACTTCTACCATTCCAAGTCTTAGCTAGTTTTTCCTAAATAATCATGTATTTTCCCCCATCACAGTACTTATTTCACAGTAATACAATTGTCTGTTAATTTGCCTCAGTCACTTAGATTTCAAATTCCATAGAGACCTCATCTTCATTCTTTCAATAATTGGGATAGATGCTAAGAATACAGTAGCATATGGACCATTATTAAATCCTTAACTGTCTAGTTTTTGGCATGGAAATCGGTAAGCATTTGTTTATTATATATGTGAAGGAATGAATACATTCTGAAATATTCCTTTTGTAGCCTACATTTGTTCTTAAGTTTTGTGCAAATTTGTGCTCTTTAATACACTAGACTATACTGATGTCACATTCTGTAGAAACAGTCACATCAAGGGAATTTATTCACTCTAGTTATTTTTCAAAAAGCAGTGTGGATTGTAACTCTTCCTCTTAATGTATCCTCACCTTATCAATGGCAGTAATGTTTCCTCCAAGCTACTGGGGGATTTAAATACTTTAGTGGCCTCCTACTCAAGTCACAGGAATGTAGCCTAGATCCACCCCTCTAAAGCTTGCTCTAGCTCCCCTTCCAGGGTTGTTAGGGAGGAGACAGTTTTCAGGAAAGTGGAATTCAAGACTTGATCTTGTAAATGGAGAATAAGAAGATGTCTCTGATTCATTGACAGGGCTCTGGCATTATTTGTCTTAAATAACTTTTTAATACATAAAAGTAATATATATTGAAAATGATTATGGAAAATTTGAAAATTCTGCACTAAGGAAAATAAAATCACCCATAATCTCATCACATAAAGATGGCAATTATTAACTTTTTAACAAATAACCAGTCTTTTATGTATTTGTGTGTATGTGTATGTACATGTGCTTGTTTTGGGGGATCATGGATCCTACCTTTTGAAAATTTTATTCAGCATAATATCATAATTGTTTTCTCAGGTCAAAAATAAATCATCTAAACTCTCTTTTGCATTGATTTTAAATGTTCCATTATATTTATTTAATCATTATTCCAATATTGAAACTGTGCATTGCTTTGAATATTTTTCTAATATAAAAATATTGCAAGCATCATCTCTTACAAAAATATTTGTCCATATCCCTCTTTATTTCCTCAGGATAGGTTTCAAGAGGTGGGATCGGTGGATCAGAGAGGATGAACATTAGTAAGGGTCGTGACTTAAGGGGAGGAATGGGGCTCTTCAGAGATTGTCCCATAGCAGCCCGCTGAGATGCTCTTCACACCATCACTTTGCTGACTGAGAGTTGTTAGAGAAATTCTTCCTACATTTAATAGAGAAATTCTTTCTACATTTGATAGGAGACAAATAATATTTCATTGTCTGAACTTTTTTGCTATGAATGAAGTTAAACTTTTAAAAAGATTTATAAAGTCACCCTGTGAATTGTTTGTGTCTCTCTCCCCTTTAAAAGTTTATAATTATCTTTTTCTTAGTTTTTCTTTTTGTTGGCAAAAACTATTACATTAGCCACTTATTGTAACATTTGTTGAAATTACATATTTCTAATTTGTCATTTGCTTTTACATTACATATCTCTACATACATATCACATAACTTTTTTTTTGGTGATAAAGTCTTGCTGTGTTGCACAGGCTGGCCTTGAACTCCAGGTCTTATGAGATCCTCCTACCTAAGCCTCCTGAGTAGCTGAGATTACAGATGCATACCGCTGTGCCTTACAACATATACTTTTTAATTAAAAATGATAATTAAAATTTTCAGCAATCAAACCTATCAATTTTTTTTCTGTGACTTCTTTTGTCCCTTGTGCTTATACCACCTTTCCCCATTTTGAGGAAGGTTAGATCTTTATTTTTATTTTTTAAGTAGGTTTATTTATTCACTGGCTCATTTTAACAAACATTTATTGGCACTTATTGTATTCTAGACATTATGCTAGGAGCTGAGGACACAAGAAGAATAAGACTAATCCCTGTCCTCGAGGAACTTATACTCTATATGGAAGGCATATACGTCAACAGAAATGAAGAAAAGAGAGAAAAATGTGTCTGAGTTTGAGGCAGTAGATATTTGGAGATGTATAGGTTGAAGTTTTTTATGTTTGTTTCAGATTTGAGTTTCACTTTTGTTTATTTAACTTATTTTTAAAAATTATTTTTAAACATTTGTTTTTATTTTAAAGATGAGTACAATTCAGGGTTAGGTATACAAATGGTCATTATTTTTTAAAGTTTTTTTCTTCTTTTTTTCCAGGAGAAAGCGAGAACACAGTCCCCCACTACCACAAATTATGCAGTCGAGTTTCTCATATTTGGGGAAATTGCAGGGGTCAGCACATCTGGAGTGCAATAGATAAACCTCATCCTGGGAACACCACCTTCATCATCATGGTATCTTCCCTGCCAGGTGAGTATTATTTTTAAAGAATTTTTAAATGGTTTTATATTTTCCATTTAAATGTTTAATCCAGCTGACACTACTTTAGTGCACGTTTTAAGGTAAATACCTAAGTTTATTTATTCTAGGTATTTGTTTCTTTTTCTTCCCACACTGATTCATGCTAATATCTTCACCACATTCTACCTCATCCATCTCTGCCCTTCCTCATCCCAGATACACCTCCAGCTTAGACCCTTATCGCCTCTTCTATGGACTTTTGCCATAATCCCTTACTAGTCTCATCATCTTTTACTCTGCCCTGCACTGTTGTTGACAATTCTACTTCCTAGTGTATAGCTATGTTAATATGATGCTCCTACCACCTAAATTCAGAGGTGAAGGTCAGAAGAACCGATGTGCAATTCAAGGTTCCCTGTTGAGCTTCCCAAAGTTGCCATCCATTATGGTCACCATCCCAATTATCCATGAGATAACTAGAAATCATTCTGATAGCAAGTCTATATGTTCATTACTTCTAGAAGCCAGCTTTAATGGTTCAGGAATGTGGTTCTTCATGGAAGAGAGAGTTTTGACTATCATGGGACCCAGAAGCCTTATCACCTGACTTTCTACATTCACAGGCATTCCCCAGAGTCAGATTAGAGAGTGGGCAGTAATTCATCTGACTTGCAGATGATTTAAATCAAGGTAAATCAACCGCTTTCTCTACAAGTCATTTCAGATAACCTTGCTAGTCCAGGAAGCCTTCTCATCACTGCCACCTGTGTGCGATCATTATTTTAGTCCTCTGTCATTCCTCATGCATTCAGTTGACATTAGGTTATTGACACATTTTCTTTTGATCCTTTTCTAGTGATGCTACGTATCTTTGCATGCCCCTTCTTAGAGGCCCAGAGAGCAGGAAGAAAGCCCACAGATCATTTAATCTTGCCCTCATTTTGCAGTTGAAGCAACTGAGACTGGAGAAGTGAAGGAAGTAGTGGCCCAAAGCCATGGAGTCCTTAGCAGTTCCCAAACCTCCCAGCTTCTCCTTCCTTCCACTGCCTTTCCTACTGTCCTTCCTCTGGGATCTGGCTGGAACTGTCTTTCTTGTCCCTTTATGCACTTTCCCTGGGTGATATTACCACCTCTATAATCTTGACAGCCATCTATCCCTCCTTTTGAACCTCTCCCCTGTATTTGCCTCCCCAATCAGCATCTTTACTATTTCAACTCGACATGTTCAAAACAGAACTCCCATCACCCTCCTCTCCTCACTTGCTTCTGTGTTTGCAGCAGTGGCACCCCCATCCTTCCAATGACCTAGATTGAAAGTGACCCTTAAGTTTTCTTTCTTCCTCACCCCCATATCCAGTCAAGATCCTGTAGTGTTCACCTCCACATCTCTTGGCTCTTTCCATGTGGCTGAATCCACTGCCTTTCTCTAAAGCTCTGGCAACAGTTTCCTAAACAGGTCTCCACATCTTCAGTCTATTCGCCACCCTGCAGCCTGAGTGACCATGCAAGGGGACGAGTCCTCAGATCCCTCCATGAATTCAAGTCCTTCAGTTGTTTTCAGGGTCCTTCCCAGCATGCCCCAGCCCCTGTGAACCATTTCTACTTGGACATTCTCCACCCTTCTCTTCACCCGTTAACCTCTACTCATCCTCCGGCTCTCCACTTAGCTATCTTTCTCCTTCCCCCTCCTTGATGCACAAGCAGCTTTCCCCGACTCCCTCCAACCCTCAGAAAGTCTAGCATGGGCAACCTGTCTTATGAGCCACTCCAGCCATCTCTGGCTTTCTCCTCACATCTAGCCTTCTCGTCTATGGATCAAGGAGCCTCATGAGGCCATGAGATGTGCCTTCTTCACCAGTGGCCCACCACCTTGCATAGGCCACAAAAACTGGAAAAACTCATAGGGTACTTACGAAATCACTCAGTCCAGGTCTAGGGCTCTATATGAGGAATGCCTTGGTCATTTCTCAAGGGAGGGGTGGAGGTTAGGGCAACTGCTAGGAGAGTCTCCATGCGAGGACATTTCCAAGTTCTCTTTTCTTTTAAAAAAGTTAATTTATTATTATATCTTTTTTATAGATGGGGTATCTCTGTCACCCAAAATGGAGTACAGTGGTACAATCATAGCTTACTGCAGCCTCAGACTCCTGGGCTCAAGGGATTCTCATGCCTCAGCCTCCTGAGAAGTTGGGACTACAGGGGCACACCACCACTCCGGGCTCACTACGTTGCCCAGGTGAGTCTGAAATTCCTGGCCTCAAGGGATCCAAGTGCTGAGATTGCAGGCCCTAGCCCCTGTGCCTGGCCCAAATTCTCTTTCCTGAATCCAGTCTTTGAGTTCCCCCTGGTGGCTTTCCCGATGCAGACACTTCATGACAGGGGAACACTTTAGGGAGTGGAGCTGTCCACTCTGACCTGGTCCCTGCCGGAGGTCAGGGCTCCCTCAGACACCAGCCCGGGGCTTGGCCCGACCGTCGGGGTCCCAGCACCCTGCGAAGGGCAGCGGTGACCTCGCGGTTGCGCAGGCTGTAGATGAGCGGGTACAGCAGCGGCGTGACGTTGGTGTAGACCAGCGCGAGCGTGCGGTCCAGCCGCGGGGAGTAGCTGGCCTTGGGCCGTGCGTACATGAAGGTGGCGCAGCCGTAGTGCAGGAAGGTGACCGCCAGGTGCGAGGCGCAGGTGGAGGCGGCCTTGCACCTGCCTGCGGGGCAGCGCAGGCGGCTCAGGGCGACGGCGATGGCTGCGTAGGAGGCCAGAATGAGCACCGAGGGCAGCAGCAGCAGCAATAAACAGGCGCCCAGCAGTGGCAGCTCGTCGACGTAGCTCCGCGTGCAGGCCAGGTGTAGCAGTGCCGTGATGTCGCAAAAGAAGTGCACCAGCAGGCAGGAGCCGCAGAAGGGCAGGTGGAAGACGGCCACTGTGAGCCCCACGGACACCGCCAGTCCACCGAGGCAACAGGCGAGGGCCAGCCGAGCGCACAGCCCAGGGGTCACTACGGCCGCGTAGCGCAGCGGGTGGCAGATGGCCACGTAGCGGTCGTAAGCCATGGCGGCCAACAGGAAGCACTCGGCCCCACCCAGCGCCACGAACATCTGCATCTGAACAGCGCAGCCCAGGAAGGAGATGGGGCTGCCCCTGCCATGGCCCGGCATGGTCAGATCGGCCAGGGAACGGGGCACCACCACCAGGGTGTAGCAGAGCTCGATGGCTGACAGCTGGCACAGGAAGAGCAGCATGGGCGGCCGGCTGGGGACCGAGGCCACGGCCACCAGGATGAGCAAGTTCCCGCTCAGAGTGGCCAGGTGCACCGCCAGCAGCAGCAGGAAGAGAGCGGGCCTCAGGTGCGGGAACTCGGAGAAGCCTTGAAGGAGGAAGCTGCAGGGCATAGTGGCATTTCTCTGGTTGTCCATTAACCGGGGGTTGGAGGCACCTGTGGGAGAGAAGCACAGGAAGGGCTGGCTTGTGGGGTTGCGTCCCTCTGGCCCTGAGGCAGAGAAAAGATGAAGTGGAAGTTAAAAGGGTGGGTCAGGCAGAATTGGTGGCTGCAGAGAGGTAGCAATGGTTCATGGGTCCATTCCCAGCCACCTTCCCCATGAGAGAGGTCTTACTGACTTGTCTAGAAAAAAACAGTGCAGTTTTTGTTGCCTCCTGGGCTTGAATCCCTGTAGCTGTTTCCAAAGAAGCTTTGATTTTATTTCTTTTCCTTATAGTGCATCACTCCTGACCTCCACTGACAAAGAATTCATGGATCTCCACACTCTAGTTATTTTGTGGGTCCTATATGGCCATGAGTGTTATGCCTGGCACTTCACTTACAAAGAATTCACATGCTCCATACTGTAGTTATTATGTTGTAGCCATGAGTATATGTATATGGCCCTGAGTATTATGTCTGGTGCAGCCCGAGTCCCCTAAGGTAGGAAATGTCTTCATTCCCTGCTTCTGTCTCCTCTTGCCTGTCAATCACTGTCATTTCTGAGTTGGCTTCTGTGATGTTTCATAAAACACAAAAACATAACGCAGGTGAGAGCCTTAGAGATCATCTCATGCAACTTCATCATTTCAAGGAGGAAAATAATGCGGGGGTAGAGAAAAGGGGGGGAGTTGTTGAAGGACTTAACTTCTCGTAGGAAACTAAGAACAGAGTCTGCATTCCTGAGGCTGAATCCGGACCTTTCTATGACCCACATGAGGTTCTGGAAAGAGGACACCCAGGTCAAGACAATTCATATTTATGTAGCTTTAAATAGAGACCCAGGTCTGTGCCAGACACCGGGGCAGACATTTAGGCAGCAGGGCATGCTTTGTGGGAGGGCTTTCCTGGCTGCATCAGGAACGATATGTTCCTAACATTTTTATTAATGCTTTGTCAACATGAGAAAAGGGGATGTGTATTTGTTCTCACTTGCCTTTCAGAGTTAGCAGTACATTCCAAATTTACCATACAAACACAGTTTCTTTCTAAGCATTACACGGGGACTCATTGGCAGGCAACATTTGGAAAACATTGCACTTGGCATAATCCTCTGGAAGGTGGTAAGAGACTTGGGGTCATGCAACTGGAAGAGGGGTTTTGATCTTTCCAGTAGATATTAATGATACTCCTTTTTTTTCATTTCCTTCTCTCTGTTTTAGTCGTAAGCTCACCTGTTATTTTGTCTTCTAATCACTGTTTATAATCAATGTTGGAAATGGAATTTGCTTGCAGTTGTTGTACCATAGGGCACAATAGCAATAACACTGGGTCCAAGGTCAACAGGTAAATGGAATGAAAGGGCAGGAAACAATGCACAGAGTTGGATTTTGGCTATTTAATGCTCCTCTTTGAGAAGGGAATTCTGAGGGCTTTGGTTTCTCAGTGTCATTGTGCTCTTTCTTGCCATATTTGAGGGAACACTTTCAAATGAATGTTTTCAATCTTACAGAGCAAGAGTCTGGTGTGGTTCTGGGCATGTCTGAGGGAGACAGAATCATTTCCCATCTGTCCTCACTGTTCAGTTTTTTGGCCACTCTTCAGTCTATTGAGCAAATGTGACAAACTTGTGTTGAACACCCCCTCTTCCCCAGGTGTTGAAGCTTTAAGTGCGAACGAGAGAACGAGAGAGAGGCCTAGCTGCCTTGGAGGGTTCAGGGAGAAAGAAATTACTGAAGTGTCCACAACAGCTCTCTTCTCTCCGTCTGTGTTTCTGTCCTCCTTAACTTTTCTAAGGGAAGTGTGGTTAGGGAAGGGAGTTGTAGGAGGGAGAGACGGGAACATTCTAGTTCTTTTTCCTTCATACTCACACTGCACAGCGATGTAGATGACAAGCAACACGGGTGATGGCACCAATGGCTAGCAAATCAAGGTACATCATGTATTAAAAACACTCATGTAGAAGCTAAAAAAAAAATGTTAAGTCCTAAAAGTAAAAGTAGAACAGAGGATAGTAAAGTCTGGGAAGGGCGAGAAATAGGGAGGATGGGGAAAAATTTATGCAAGGATACAAAATTACAGCTAGATAAGAGTAATAAGCCACTATCTAGTGGCAAAGCCAAACAGCAGGCTCGGTGGCTCAGCCTATAATCCCAGCACTTTGGGAGGCCAAGGCAAGTGGATTGCCTGAGCCCACGGGTTCGAGACCAGCCCAGGAAAATTGGCAAGACCTCATGTCTATAATAAATAAAAAATTAGCCAGTTGTGGTAGTGCGCACCTGTAGTTTCAACTACTTGGAAGACTGGGGTGGAAGAATTGCAGGAGCTCAGCAGGTCAACACTGGGGTGGCGGTGAGCATGCCACTGCACTCCAGTCTGGGTGATGGAGTGAGACTCCAACTTCAAAAAACAAAAAAAGAAAAAAAAAAGGGTAATAAGCTCTAGTGCTCTACACCACTGTAGGATGACTATAGTTAACAATAATATATGTTTCACTTAGATGGAAGGAGAATAATGAACAGCCTCAACACAAAGAAATGATAAATGTTTGAGATGATGGGTATGCTAATTACCCCGATCTGATCACTGTACATTATATGTATTGCAACTTCTCTATGTACCCCAGTAAATATGGACAATTCTTATTTGTCCGTTAAAAAAGTAAAATGGAAAAAACAATTCCTTATAAAGCAAGCTAAATGGGCTAGTTAAATGGAAAAGAGACTAAAGAGTATTTCCGCTCCTAGAGTTTTTAGGAGAAATTGTTACAGAGTCTAGGAATGTATATTCAAGTGTCTTTTCTTGGGGTGGGGTGGGGGGAAGGGGGGAGAATAGATACTTTCAAAACTTCAGTGATTCAAATCTGACTCTACCCTAGCAGGAGAAGCTGTAGAGAGAGAAGAAAACATCACAAGTCCTGCCTGAGTCACCCTTCTCTCCCAGGGACAGAAGGGCAGATGTTCTCACTCTTCCAGGTGATTAATAACATAAACAATAACAGCCAACATAAAGACAGTGCCAGGCAAATGCTGATAAGGACTTTACACACTTAACTCATTTATTCCTAGTGACAACCCTATGAGGTAAGTGGACTGTTTTTACACCCATTTTCCAGATGAGCAAATTGAGGCTTTAAGAAATTAAATGTCATACAACTATCTAGTGGCAAAGCCAAATTTGTACTCAAGCATTCTACATCCTGATGATCCATGTTCTTGTTCACTATATAGTCTTCCTTGTTTATACTTCTCCCAAAACATCCTTCCCACATGAGACACCTCCTATCCCTCTTTCTATATCTCTCACCTTCCCCAGACTAGAAATTACCCTCAATTTTTCTAGGTATTTCTGTCCTCAGATTTCCTCTCATTGACTTTTTTCTTGAGGACATGTGGATATGAGCAGTAATGCAGATAATCTAAGATAGCAAATCTAAAAATACTTTCTCCTTAGCTTTGACATTCATCGCTGCTATTGTTATTGTTCCGGCAGATTCGCTTTTCTAATTATGTAAGGCTTCATGGAGCACCACAGAGTCATGGCTGGCTGCCGGCCCAGGACATCTGGATGTGGCTGGAAGCCTCACTGGGCTGGAGATACAGATCTGGGATTTGATTTTTGCTGTGTAGAATAATTAAAATTCTCTGCAATCATGATGTTTTTATATGGTCATTTCAATAGTGAATTGAAACACTTCTAAAGAGTGGCTGTGGAATGGGAGATGTGAGAGACAAACAGGTCAGGCTCCTTCGGGTCTATAGGAGTCTGTAGAAAGCGGAACTGGAATGAAACTTCAAGGCCAAGTGTTCCAGACTTTCATGTTATAGTAAGCGAGGCCCAACTAGGTCACTAATCAGCTTGGGATCTCACCACTGTCTTTTGGCAGCAGTATACTAGAGCCTAATTCTCACAAATCTGGCTGAGTGGTTCTATTTCTGCAAGAATTGTCTTCCAGAGTAGACCCGAGTCTACTAATTTAGTATGATAGTTTACAAAATCATCAAAGGAGAGGTAACAGCGAAATTTTATCATCCTGTAAGAAAGTAAACTTAGAAGATTATTAATATGCCTAGATTTCTTAACTTCATTTAAAATAACTTGCCGTGGGCCTCTGGTCTATAAATTTATATAAATTATTCTGAAACCTATTTTTATCCAGTGCTTCCTTTTAGGAATAACACACTATGTATTCAAAGATAATTTTTTTTCTTAGCCTTATTTCTGGTGAAGTAAAAAGAGTCTCCATAGCTCACATTTTTGCTTTGTTGTTTTCTGGATGCTGATTTGGGGAGGAGGCAAGTTAATTAACTCTTTCAAAGCCTCAGACTCCTCACTGTTGAATGGCAGTAACAACAGAGAGGACTGATGAGAATTCCATAGCAGGTACAAGTTTTGGTACAGATCTGACACATAGTAGGTGCATAAAAACACTGAAAGCATTTGGTTTTGAGTTGGAGTCTCACTCTGTCGTCCAGACTGGAGTGTGGTGGCACGCTTCCGGCCACCGCAGCCTCGACCTGCTGGGCTGCGGTGATCCTTCTGCCTCAGCTTTCCAAGTAGCCGGAACTATGAGCGCGCACTACCACGCCCGGCTAGTTTTTAAATTTTTTGTAGAGATGGGGTCTCTACAAAATTGCCCGTGGGTTCAGGCACTCCACTCGCCTCGGCCTCCCAAAGTGCTGGGATTACAGGCTGAGTCACCGAGCCTGGCCTGCGCTGAAAGCATTTGTAATTTTATCCTTCATTGCTTAACAGGCTTATGTCATATTTCCTCTGAGAATTCATCTTTCCATCGTGGATATCTCCTCACTCCTTGACTGCAATGTTTCAGGTGATTTCCTAGTACCCTTTCAGTCTTTCTGGGGTCCAGGAAACAAAATGGATATATTCTGGGTATGGAAACCTCATGAAGAGATTAGGAGACATAGGTACATCTATCTGTCTCTAAGTATCTCTCTCTCTCTCTCTCTCTCTCTCTCTCTCTCTCTCTCTGTCTCTCTGTCTCTCTGTCTCTCTATCTCTCTATCTCCTATCTACCACTTTTCTTTCCTTAGGTTTTTAGTTGCCTTTC